TGGGTGTGTGCGTGCGCGTACATGGGTGTGCGTGCGTGTACATGGGTGTGCGTGCGTGTACATGGTGTGTGTGCGTACATGGGTGTGCGTGTGTGTACATGGTGTGTGTGCACGTACATGGGTGTGCGTGCTCACAGACACGTGGAGGAGGTGTGTGCTAAGACCAGGCAGTGTACGAATGGTCACACGCCCATGCGGGGTGGGGACCAAGGCCAAGGCATGTGCCACAGGCCACCTGGCGGCTGACTCCACAGCCACACGCTACCCGCCCAGCCCCCAGCTCTGGGGGCACCGCGCCCCCTGGTCCTGCGAGCCCTCCCGGAAGTGCTGGTGGGGAGAAGGCTGCACGTGCCCAGCAGGGGCCGGAAGGAGCCGAGCACCAGGGGCGCCATTCTGGGACATGCAGCGAGGGCCAGGGAGCCATGCGGTGCTCAGCTGTGGGGGCAGCGTGCACGCCGTGCACCACCTGAGGGCACTTGGGAGGTGTGGGCGGCATCGCGAGGGCCAGGCCTGCTGGCCGCACCCTGGGGCCCGGGTGCAGGCGTGCACGGGGCTCTGGGCGAGGTCTCCTGCTGGGAGGTGACAAGAGGGGCTGTGGCCACCTGCAGCTGGGCTGGCGGGGGGGATGCTCACCGTCCTGAGGTGTGTGACAGTCCCGGGCCAGCACCAGAGACCTCTGTGGCTGGGCTGGAGGCCACAAAGCCCGCAGGCAGCCTGTCCAGAGCTGGCCCATGGCCCTGATCTGGAACGGCCCAGGCCCGTCAGGTGGGCTCAAGGCCAGCCTGGAGAGGGGGCTCGGTGAGCAGAGGGCGTGAGGCACAGGGCACAGGCGGGCGGGCGATGCACAGGGCAGGGCACCCAGGTGGGCCAGTACCTGTCACTCTGAGGGCATGGCCACCACGGCGGTCAGGCACTGTCCATGGGCTTAAACTGCCAGCCCGTGTGGCCACCAGAGTCCAGGGCAGCCAGATATCGCTAGGAGGGCCCGGGGGGGGGGGGGGGGGGGGGGGGGGGGGGTGCAGGAGAGAGAGAGGGAGAGAGAGAGAGAGTGCAGCCTCAACGCCAGGTGTGGGCCGGCAGAGGCCACGAGGCCGGAACGGACGGTGAGAAGGGCAGTGGGATGTGGGTGACAGCCTGGAGCCCAGCTGCCCCAGGTCCAGCCCCGCAGGCCCCAGGCCCCAGGCCAGCTCTGTGCGCCCACATGGGCATGAATTTCCAAAGCAAAGTGCCTTGCCTCTCTGGCCACCGGCCCCCTGCAGCCACCACCTCCAGGAAGCCTGCCTGGCTGCCTCTCTGTAAGCTCCGTCTCTTTGGCACAAACCACCGTGTCCCCTCTTTTCCACGTCTCAGCCCCGAGGGCCGAGGGGACCCCAGGCCAGGCTGGACCGGCCAGGGGCCGAGAACTGGGTTGAGCTCAGAAAGGTACAAAGAGGAGAAGAGAGGTCAGGTGGGAAGAGGGAAGTCGGGGCCAGCTGTGAGCCCACCCGCCCGTCGCCCCGCTCGCCACAGACACCCACTCGCCCTCTTGCCCCGAGACTTACTGAGGGCGGCGGGGACTCGCGCCCGATGAGGGGGGTGTTCTCACAGCGGGGGTTCTGGAAATTGGCATTCTGGCTCCTGAGGAGCAAGGAGAGGGGCTGAGTGACCGCGTGGTCCCAG